GTCGACTCAAACGTCTGTCGAACGAGGCGTCTGTCGATTGCTTCGTTTATAGCAGTTTGAGATCAAGTAAACTCGTTCGATCTGGTACGTAAAATTTTGCAGTCTTTCATGCTTTTGAGTGGTTCTATGCACAATGATAGGCCTACGAATACTAGTGCAAAATTATTCCTTCCTATACACGAAATATACAGCTCCTATACGTTTTGTATGGTCGCAGGGTGAGTTTCACCCAAATGTGAGACGTCAACTTTTAAGCTACGATGTATTTATTTATTTATTTATTAGAATACCCTCAGGGCCCGTAGGGCATTACAGAGGGGGTGGGTACAACATTTTATAACACACAAAGGAATAAGGACAAGAAAAAAAGACAAAGAAAAGAAACAAGTGTCAGATGCGCAAATCACGAAGGTAACATAAATCAACTAAAAATGTATAAGTAAGAATTCAAGCACATACAAGACAAAGATAATGGAAACTGCGTATAGTTACAAACATTGCTGAGAAATTGCAGTCTTGAATAACAAAGGGTCTGTTATTGTTACTGTTGTTATTGTCTGTTATTGTATGATAGCATTTTCGTTTGAAGGTAGGGAAACAAATTGTGGTCCGATTTTTGCAATGACGACGATAGTATTGCAGCCGTCGTATCATCAAGTAGCTAATATACGCTTCTTTATGAAAATGCATGTGTCTTTCGCGTACGCTTCTTCTCGCAATCGCAAACAGTACATCGTATGTGGATGGGTGTCTGTGAATTACAGACAACGGATATCATATCGTCCACTCATGCGACACCCGTCGTAATAGCCAACGCCACACTCTACACATTTAAAGTGCTTTGGCCGCACTTCTCGAGCTTGCTCGAAAAAGAAAAAAAGCTGCCGATCGGTAGCGGCTCCCGAGAACATGCCAGCACATTTTATCGCAAGGCGTGGCCTGAGATTGGCAATAAATTTCCAGTGAGCTAAAAATTGTTTTCTCGTCTATCGATCATTGATGCTACGTACTTGAAAACATTGCGCCACAAGCTTTGCTATCACGCCATTAGCTTCTTTAAGCATGGAGTGTTCCGGAGTTACTGTGGCCGCAGCGGGAGGCCGCCACGTGTGCACTCAAAAGATGCACGTTCTAAGAGAAGAAAAACTGTTCAAAGTCGTCACTTACCTCCTTCCCCTATGACACTCTTCCTTGCTAACCTTCCAGCGTTGTCGTCGCGGTGAGATGAGAGAGAAATAATATGCAGCATACGAAAAATATTTGTGACTGCTCATACAGAGCGGACTCTAAAATTTTTTTCGGTGGTCACTTTTTACGGGCGTAGCAGGGCCCTTTTATTGTCATTGTGTACATCTTTTTCTTTTTGTGTTCTGAACGAACTACAAGTTGGAAGCAAAACTGTGCATCGTCATCTGTTTGCAGTTACATGGGGACAATGAGGCTGACTGCCATTCTGCTCGTCTTTGCAATCTTCGGATTTTTGGTGTCAGGTAAACATGTATTCTGAAGTGCTACACGTCACAATTATAAAGTTGCATTGTTCAATGAAACTCAGCTCCTTTTTTCAAACGAAGCTTGTTATAACTCACAGAGTATGATGGTGATGTCTTACGCAATAAACCCGGCTTCGACAGACGTACGGCAATCCTGCTTTTGATGGTGTACCAGCCGCACGCATATTTTATTGCACCGTAGTCAGATGCAGATTACACGCTATCAAGCAATCGAATTGCGGATGTCGACTCGTCTATAGGAATAGCACAAAACGATCAATTTTGGTAGTTTCGCTTCCCCACTTTCACATGAAGTTTTTTTTCTGAATTCATGTGACACGCAGTAGTGAAGCGCACAGTGTGCTTTTACGAACTACAACGTCGCAGTTTGTTTAGTTGAATTGCTATCATCTTATCGTGTAACTTCGTGCCTTTATTTTGCTGTCGTTGGCGTGATAATTACTATGTAAGGTATGAATGCCAGGGAAACCGAATGAGGCGAGCCGATGATCACAGATGAAGAGAAAATGAAACGCACCAGCCATATTCCGTTATGCGCAAGGCCTATGGGTGATTCCGGAGAGGGGGTGTGAACAATACATAGGCAACACGTTTGGCATAAAGAACTCTACAAATGCTCCTTGTGTCACTCTCCTAGAGTGAATGTCTAAAAACAGTGCCTTCTGGGAGCATGTTTCTTCGAAGAAATCCTAAACCATGCCTAGGTTCTAGTTAAGAAAACATTCTGCGAGCAAAATCATTTGCAAACAGTTCAGCCAAATTTCATAGTCTTGCGCGACTCGCAAAGTTCACAAGCGGACCACAAATTTGTCATTTCTTCACACATGAGCCACGTCATCACAAACTTCGTTGGGCCAGCGGTATGTCGTTAAACAGCAAACTGCTCCGCTAGGCTGACAATTGAGCACACGGTGGAAGGAAAGATAGGAGAGGGCATGTCCAGCCTGCGCATTACGTGGAAAGTGTGAAGGAAATGACATCATTGCGGCCATATTCACTGGGCTCAATGGCAGCGTTGCTATGGTTACGTGTTGCGCAGTGCAGCTGGTTGAGCAGTAAGCGGCCGCGGCTGGTGGCGGCATGTGCGCCTCCACAAGTCTCGTACTGAGCAGGGACGGACAATATCTGTTCTCTGCGCTGCATTATTGGTTATGCCGTGCTCTCCTGGCAGTTTCTGTACTCCTAGCAACGTTTACAAAACTTTGTCCACCACGGGGCCTCAACAGCGCATAGAACGAGCGCATATCAATGTGCCGGGCGGCCGATGACGCGGATGAAGCATTTGAAGTGTTCAGCGAAATCGCGTTGGGCATCATGACGAAGCGGCACGTCGACAAACGCCTTGCAGGACAGTGATGGTTGTGCAGTACTCCTGCTTGTGACAACGGATGAAACTGTTGTGCCCACCAAGACGCAATGAGGACCATGTGCCCATACGTTGTTGCGTGTTCGGTATGTGTACAGTAAACACTTGCATGTGCGTATTAAAACACCTTTTCTGTTCCGCTTGTAATACTCGCACCCAGCATTGTAATCTCAGCGTTAGAGAAACCACGTTCAAGTTTCACTTGCCCCGTGCTCAAAGTCACCACGGTCGCAGAATGCTGAGGCCGGCGAGTTTCACACGAAACACGGGCATAGTGGCCGGCGCCGCGTCGGTCACGTGGCGGAATGCAACCATAGAAGAAGGCGCACGACCGACAGTGTTGTCTGTACATTTGCCGAGTTAATAACGTGAAAACACTCGTCGTTGTCAGTGAATCTAGCACGCGTTCTTTTGTACTTGCTTCGATATCGGCGAGATGTTACTCGCTGTTAATACTCGGACGAAATTATTTCGCCGAAGGTGTCGCGCTGGCCCAGAGTGTTGAGCCCCATTTCATTGGCTTCGGATTGTCACGACATGCGCGCTGCGCAGCCCACGTGCTTTCCAGGCCGGAAAGAGCGTCGCACCTTCTTCTTTACATTTGGTTGCAAACAAGAAAGGATAATATGTCCAGTCAATAGGGACGACTTCCGGCTTCACCGCGGCTTCACAATGAGCGACAAGGGCTTCGGATAATTAATTGATATGTAAGGTTTAACGTCCCAAGACCACTATATGAGTATGAGAGATGCCTTAGTGGAGGACTCCGGAAATTTCAACCACCTGGGGTTCTTTAACGTGCACCCAAATCGGAGCACACGGGCCTACAGCATTTTCACCTCCATCGGAAATGAAGCCGCCGCAGGCGGGATTCGATCCCACGATCTGTGGATCAGCAGCCGAGCACTTTAGCCACTAGACCACTGCGGCGGGGCTCAGGGCCTCTCCTAAGTTGTTTCCCTTCTCCATAGTTGAGCAGCGTTTGGATAAGATGGGCTTCCTGCCACAGGGTGTCGCCACGTTACAGCAATGCAGCCATTAGAATGCATAAGTTACGCTATCGCAACACTAGCTTGCATGGGGACCGTATCGGGGATTAAAGAAATACTTGCGGGAGAAGATTTGTAAGGCAGCAGTCTCTAATACGGAGAAAATAAGTCAGGTTCTTCAATTACTTCTCGTATATGTTAATTATTACCCCCTGGAGCGCAGCAACTGAGTGCACCACAAGGACACTATAGAGAAGTCAGCGTACGTGCAATAAATAAACGTGTTGGTACGTATGAAACACGGATTCACTGCATTTCTTAAGGACAATTCCATATCTCACATGCAGAAGATAGCTGCACACAATAACAGCAGAACTCGAAACACTTCCATGTGATAAAGCTTTTGAACCACCTACATTGGTTACTCGAATTGTCACGTTGTCTTTTAACGAGGTGAGGTAAGTTCACACCACTACTATTGATGACTTCAATTGAAAGCTCACAAAAAAGTAGAGCGTCAATAACTATGACGGGGCTGCATGGTTGAAATGTTGACTCGGTGGCTGTTATTGCGCATTCGGACGTGTTTTTCCTTCGATAACCGTGGATCTTGACGCACATGCGTTTGTGACGCGATGCTGGTTTTTGTAGCTGTTTCTATCAATGCTGCTGTCACGGGCTCAGCACTGTTTTTGAGTCGTGACCGTCGGAACAAAGTCGTGTGGCCGAGAAGCTCGGGCCATCCTGCATAGCACCCCTGGTCACTATGTCAGATCTATGATGCGACTTTGGTTCAGCCGTTTGGCGTCTTTGCTCCAGTGACAGAAGTCTACAAAAGCCGAAGATTTTCCACGAGATCATGCCACCACGAGCTATGAGGCACTCTTTTTTTCTTTTTAAAGGGCCGACTGGCAACGATTGGCGTGGCACTAAGAACGAAAACTTTGAGTCTATTATGAATAGTCAACCATACGACGTAAAGCAGTGCGTGCAACGAGCACGCAGAATGGCTCGCGTTTTCAGTACTTTTTATTTCACTTCGTATGGTGCTCCATGCGTTTATATTCTACCGTTAGTGTTCCGCAGAATAAAAGGCACATTTCGTAATTATTCAAGTCATCGTGCTGTGAAGCAAGGAGTGGCACGTTCAAAATTCCCTAGTTGCAAGCTCAGGAATTTTCTTTTTCCAAAGAACCTTCATTTTTTACTTTTATGTATGTATAAGTAAACATACATATACACGCCATGACGCTGATGGCAAAAAGGCACAGGAGAGGGCTCGTATAATCGCTATAGCAATAATATGACTTGTGTCACTGCCACACACCTTATAGTATGGTACGAATGTATATAAAGTGTAATGCAGGTTCGGTGGCACAGTCGTCAGCAAGCTTAGCATGAACGCTTCGACGCTCTACCTGTACTATTTTGAATGATGCCAGCCGCCAAGCGCTGGGCGCTGTTGCTGAGATAATACCGCCGTATGCTTTGATAGCATGTCGGCTAACGTATAGGTAATACCTCGGCAACAGAAGACTAAGCTGCAAGGCGCTATCCACAATCAAACTATTCGAGGACATGCTGCAGATTGATCGTGTTAAGCTTGCTGACGACCTTACATACCGAACTTTCACTAAAATGGCATAAAGATAGAAGAGACAAGGCAATGGCCATGTCGCTTCTTTGTTGCGTTGTAGCACTGCTTATCTAAGTTCGAATGAAATTTCTGTCTGTTCATTCACATTAATGGCGAAATTGAAGAGCACAAAGCATGGAAGTGCGAAACACAGTTAGCCCATTACTGACGAACGTTGCCCACAGGCAACTTAGCGGGAAATTTTTTTTGCTCACTTTCGGTTTCACGAGCTTCTTTTTCCCTCCGAAGTCTCCCCATGTTACTGCCACACGGATGTGTGGTGCCCTTTGATTTGTAACTAAGAAATCGACGAAGAGAAAAAAAGAAGTTTGGCGCGCAGATCCCAGGTCCCAGGTCACTGCGGATTACAATTAAATGAATTGGCAGATGCTTTGGCACAAGCATCACTCGATGGACCAGTAATTTCAGTACTTCCCGAGTTAGAATACTTATCAGGGGTTAGATATAGGAAATTCGCTATTTTACAGATAGTTTAGAAAATATCACACAATGAACAGATTATCAGCAGCTCAAATTTCCATGGAAAGCCCAGTGGAGTCCGTCAAAAAAACTTGAAATTATAATCTCCAGGTTCCGGTGCCGTGTCCCCTCATTAAATTTTTATTTACACAGAGCTGGTCTGATACTTTCCCCTCTTTGTCCGTTCTGCGAAGAATCAGAAACTATTGAACATTATTTTGGCTCATGTCGTAACTATGCATTAATTAGGAAGCGACTTTTAGATATTCTATTTGTGAAGCTAGGTTTAAATTTAACCACAGAAAATGTTCTAGGTTTTGGTGCCTCTGTTTTGGGAAATTGCCACAGAGATGCATTCGATGCGGTGTGTAATTTTATTCAAGACTCTAAACGTTTTTCAACATAAAGCCCACGTTAACAGATACTCTAAAAAAAACCGGGTCGAAAAGTAATTTTCAGTTCTGGATAAATCCGTGACATACCAAATTAATCGGGTTTGACAAAACCAGCTGTCTGGTCGGCTCCCAAAATCAAGTTGTAGCTATTAGTGTCTACTTTGTTGTTGATTCTTTTTTCTCACTATCTAAATCTTTGGTTTTTTTCTTTTTTGTAACATACTGTCTTCACTATACAACTCCCCCCCCCCCCTTTTTTTTTCGTTGTAAGCAATAATGCATTTATCGTCCATATGAGAATACATGTTCTCTTGGCCAATCCCCCAGAGTGGGTAAGAGCCACGGATTAAAGGATACAAACAAACAAGCAAATCTCTTCAGAGCACTCTTCGACGCGACTTCGGCGTTCGAACATCTGTTTCCGGGTAAGCATTCGTTGTTCTCTCTCTGGCTTTTTGCAATTGCTTAGAAAAATGCTTCAATTTCCTCGTTGTCAAATTATATAAATTGCGCTGCTAATTTGGGCCTGTACGGGCGCGTGAGGTGTTTGTTGCCTACAGGCAACACCTGGCACTATGCTGTGTTTCGCATCCCGCTGAGGTTGCGCTGTGCAATTTTGTCTGGTAGCGCGCTCCTCTGCCTGCACTGCTTCCATTATCGCTGCACCACCTCACGCAGGACACGCAGACAAAGCAACGATTTCGAAGAATGGACCCGGGTGCATTTTATGGAAAATTTGCTGCGAGAGTGCCCCCTGACTACAGTGATGACTCTGACCTGGATTCATCGAGGGACGAAGAGCCTGAAAACGCTGTTTTAGCCCGGACAAGTAAGTATTTGTTTTGTCGTGTCAGTAGGAACTACGCTATCATTCGATTGACGAATAAAGTACGGTCTCTTGCTTAATAAAGCGCAGCGGGATGGAGGTGAAGGAAGGGGTTGCTTGTATTACAAAAGGCTGTGTGGCCCAGCGCTTCCACTTGAGGCTGTCGGCATCTCTCATGGCAGACGCTTCTAGGTGTTCCCAAGTTCGGCAGCTCTGCGTGGGACGCTGATAGTCTGGCATTCCGTTTACGCTTTGCAGCAGGCTGGCTCTGTGTGTTTCAAACAGTGTCATTGTTTAGGCCAGCCAGCGAAACAGTATTTCCGCAACTTTTTTCTTTGGCATAAAATAGATTTTACTGAACACAGAAAGCACTGATGAAATTTACGAGAGTAATTACTATTTTTAATTTTGTTGGCTTTTTCTTGCACTTTGTTGACATCGCAACCATTTCCTGTGCAATTTTTACAGCACCGCCAGCTGACAGTGAGGATGAAGAGGTCTCAGGAGCTCCAAGCACGGCCAGTATCGACAATGCGATTGAAGAAATCCCCAAGCCTTCGAAGGATTCTCCCCCATGGAAGGCTGTCCGAGGCTCCTTGAGTAATGTCATGCCTGAGTGGAAAGACGTACCACCCTACCCATCCCCGGTGGAGTCTCCCATCACCTATTTCAGAAACTTCTTTGACGTGACATTCCTGTCTCACATCTGTGAGCAGTCCTCCCTGTATAGCGCTCAGAGGAATCCGAATAAAGTTGCTTCAATGACAGTCAATGATTTAGAGCAGTTCATCGGTACAGTGCTCACTATGTCGCTTATGAAGCTGCCTCAAACACGCATGCACTGGTCGCAGAGGTTCCGAGTCAGTCAAGTCGCCGACACCATGACAAGAGACAGGTGGGAAGAAATCAATCAGTCGCTGCATTTTAGTGACAACCAGGAAGCACCAGACCAGAATGACCCTTAACGTGACAGGCTTTACAAAGTGCGGCCCCTGTTGGACCACCTGGTCGCCAAATGCCGCGAGATACCAAAATCTCAAAAGCTATGCGTTGATGAGCAGCTGGTGCCGTTCAAAGGCCGCAGCTCATTGAAGCAGTATTTGCCCAACAAGCCCAAAAAATGGGGTTATAAGCTTTTCGTTTTCTGCGAAGAACGCGGCATAATGTACAACTTTAAAGTTTACACAGGCAAAATTCTTCCTCGGCAAGGTTTTCCCGACATCGGCGCAAGTGGCAACATCGTCCTGCAAATGGCGAGTATCGTGCCCCGCGGTCTAGACTACATCTTGTATTTTGACAACTTGTTTTGCGGCGTGGACTTACAAGTAGTCCTCAAGAAGGTTGGAATCAGTTCTGTAGGGACAGTACGCGAGGCTCGCCTAAAAGGATGCAAACTTCCATCCGACAAAGATCTGAAGAAGAAATGGCGTGGCTCTTACGTGGAAATGGCGACCACATTTGAAGGGGTGAGCCTGAGGGCTGTCAAGTGGTTTGACAACCGCCCCGTGGCTTTACTGTCCACGTTTGCTCCAGCTTTACCCGAGCAGGCCGTGAAGCGCTTCGACAAGAAGACCCGAACGACTGTGAGCATACCCCGCCCTGCTATTGTCGGCATCTGCAATGAATGCATGGGAGGTGTTGATCTTATGGACATGCTTGTGGCACTTCACCGCATCCACGTAAGGTCAAAAAAGTGGTACAGGAGGCTCTTTTTTCATTTATTAGATGTAGTAGCTGTCAACTGCTGGCTCCTCTACCAACGAGATGCCATGCGGCTAACGTGCCTTGCAAGCACCAAATGACCCTGCTAACATTCAAAGCAGACATTGCCTGCACGCTGAGGCAACAGGGAAAGGTATCAACACCTTCGAGGAAGCGACCATTGGGCCCATCAAAAGTCGAGAATGAATTGCAGGCGAAGAAGCGGCGCGGGCTATCAGCTCCTGTTCCATGCAAGGAGATAAGGCTCGACACTATTGAACATCTCCCGATGTTTTCTGCAAAGAAAGGCCGTTGTAAATACCCAAACTGCACAGGAATCACGCGAGTAATATGCAGGAAGTGCAACGTACACCTCTATTTTACTCCAGGAAAGGAGTGCATGCACAAATTCCACACTAACCTGTAAGAAGCACGCAGTGAAGCCTACCTTATGGCTCGTGCCTAGTGTTGCCCACAGGCAACTAAGCTGCATTTTAAAAACTATACGCAGAATGTTTTTCTTCATATGAGATATGCTTAGTCTTGTTGCAAGAACTGTAAATATGTAGAAAATCAATGTTTTCTGCAAGTATTTTATTGTCTCGTCAATAAAGGGGTAAGGCAGAACTTGAGAAGCCATCGTCTTCCCGTAGGTCTAATTTCGCAATGCCGTATTTCGCGGTGCTCATTTTAACGAGAGACATAAACCATCCTTCACGAATATCCTGCCTGCAACTGTAATAATTTTTTACAATATGTGAAATGTCTTCAAATTCTTGCTAGAATGCGTGCGAAATATGCGCAGACGTTAGAGATTCTGCGATGATAACACACGAAATTGTTGAAATGTAGTACTTGTTTCCGCAGGGAACTCGCTCCCATGTTTTCCCTATTTAGTGTATCCTCATTCCATTGGGTGGACCGAAATGCAGCACAGCACCGCATCTGAATATTCTTGTGCTTGTTTCTGCTTTTCGCAGATGTCGTTGCTCGGCCGGGCATTGATGATCAGCCACCTCCATCGGCTTCAGAGGAAAGTCGCACGTATAACGCCAACAGAGCAGAACATGCGGAAGGCCGTCTTGCCATAACATGTGTGAACAATGTCTGCACGGGAAGCGTGCGCAAGTAACCGACGCTGGAGAAGCCCGGTTCAAAGCTTCAAAACACCAGCGCACATCAACGATCCTTTAACCGTTATGTCGATAAGCGGGGGTCATATGGCTGCGTTGAGTAACGGATCTTGTTAATAAAATAAAGAAAGTAGGCTGATGTTCGTGGTGAAAGAAACCGTCTTTGAGTAATGAAAGACGAGTACCTGAATTATAATACATATGAAAGACAACTCAGCAAGTACATTAAGTGGCTTTGCCTTACAAATGTATGCTTATTTCTGTACCGAAATTAACGTGTCTGTAGCTCACCTTTTCTTGAATTCGGCCACCTAGCCTTGTATTTATGTATTTCTTTTTTTGCCGAATAGTTTAAAATGACATGCCCAATCCCTCATTCGTATAAAGCCATAGTGAAACGTGTCTTCGCAAAAATAATCGAGCATTTATTGCACAGTGTTTCACCCGAACGGTGAAGCAATGAATCAATGAAATAGGAACGAATTCCAAAGTCACGCGAACAATGGTAAGCGACTTCAAACTCGCAGTGCACTCCTCAAACAGAAAGGGCGCATGAAATGAGCATATACACAGGACCAAGTTCCAACAATCATCTGTCTCATCTCGGCCCTTAAAACGCGCTGCTCAGACGCCAAGATGAACGCACGAAACGAATGCATAAGTGTATATTACGAGTGAGAACTAACAAATCTCACAATTTTTACTTATTTATGTCTGAGCGGTGAGCTCGTTTCGCAAAGGCGACCGCTAAAGCAAGCGAAGGGGCTTTCGTGCTCAGTATAACTGCAACAGAAACAGGCAGTGAAAGCACAAAACGTACAAAGCACCCCGATCACGACATAAGCGCACGCGCAATCACGCCTTATAGAGGCGCCCGCCCCACACGCTCGGGGTGACGACTTTCGTGCACTTCGCGCCATCCTACTAGGAACAACAAGAACACGCCGAAGCCACCGAGCTCTAAGTACCACTAACGGCAAACGGTGAATAGAACCGTTTGAAAGCTGATAAGTGTACGCTTTGTGGCAAAGTCGTTTCGTGCTGATGATCGACGGGTCGTTGATTTGACTCTCAGTGACAAAAGTTTTTGCTCCGATTCCTTGTCTTTGAGACATGTTGAGGTATATTTTACAAAGCCATAGCCAAGATGGCATAATGCCAGTGCAGCCATGGTGGGCGCTGGCTTAAAATACTTTCGTGTTAAAAAAAAGTCGCTGCTGTACCTGCCTTGAATAGCTTCTGAGAATTTCCGACAGCCGGCTACGTGCCTTACGCAAGACATACAAGTAAACGTTCTCGTTCGCCCTGCCGCGGTAGTCTAGTGGCTCAGGTACTTGGCTGCTGACCCGCAGGTGATCGAATCGAATCTCTGCTGCGGCGGTTGCATTTCCGATGGCGGCGAAAATGTTGTAGGCCCGTGCGCTCAGATTTAGGTGCACGTTAAAGAACCCCAGGTGGTCGAAATTTTCGAAGCCCTCCACTATACGGCGTCTCTCATAATCATATGGTGGTTTTGGAACGTTCAACCCTACATATCAATCGAAAAAACAGAATTGAAATCCCCCAACAAAATAACCTGCTTATACAATTCGTACACTGAATCAGGTTCGAAAAAAAATAGGACACGCTCTTCTACACAATTCAGCGGCTATCGCATATTATAAGGAATTCTATGTGGCAATATACAAAATCACAATAAACAACTCTTCTTGACTGACATGAAAATACACTTTCAACAATAAGGTCCAGCAATTTCTTTACAAAAAGGGCACAGCTCGTGGACGTCCCTATGACATGGCTAACGACTGCACAGTATCTCTCAGTAAAACAGCGCACCATGCTCCCGGTCTCCTCCTCTCCGCGAACCTTAGTTTCCTGGACGGCTAGGACGTCTATGTCTCGGTCAGTGAGCAACCGTAAAAGCTGACTTTGCCAAAGCCTAGCCGCCGACCCCCTGATGTTCAGCGTAGCTATGATAAGTGACGTGGTCGGTGCCAAGGAGCAGTCCCGGAGCATGGTGCTTACATTTCACGACCATAGCCGCCTCCGAAATTGTCCTGCTTTCCGGCGTTTTTTCAGTTTGCCTGGTCTGGAAGTCTCTCGTCCGAAGAAATGTTCGGTTTAGGCTTTAAATGCCACCGCCTTTGCAAGAGTCTTTGCAAGGGGCTCCTCGCTGTTGACGGTCGACGTATTGTCACTATCACGTGTCTTGTCGCGCACAAGCTTTAGCGTGGCACTCGTGATACACATGTCCTTGCTGTCCAACGTGTTTCCCGGGCCTCTGTTGCATTGACCCTGTCCCCAGGCAGCTCTCACTTCAAGACGCGTTTAGGCTCGTCCGCTGAAGGTGTGATGACAGGTGTCGTCAATTGCCGAGGAGTCTGGGTCACCTTGTGTTCATCACCCGACGCCGACTGCCTGGTTGCCGCAAGGGCCCCTCGGTTTCCGGTTTCTTCAGTGGCTTCCCCCTTTCGGCCGCGTCCATGCCGTGCCGGGCCACCTCTTTGTTCTTCGCTGTTCTAGTTGCCGAGGCATGCGGCCTTACGCAGTCAGCCTCGACGTGCCCGAAGTGTCTACAGTAGGAGCAGCGGTGGACCCTGCATCACGGTGGCAATACTGTAACACTATAACCCACTAGAGGGTACGCCGGAAAGGACACTGACGGTGTGCGTGAGAGAGACGCTCGCGAAACTACCGAGCTAGTGAACGCTGCCAGGCTGCGGGTGTGGCCAGCCAGCCAGAGCACCGGACGTTCGGTCTGAGAGTCTACAGGGTTCGAGTTGGTGCGACCAGACCAGTCGGGACGAGCTCGGTGTCCGGGAACGAGTGGTCATTACGGGCCACCCTAGCAGCTGTTCCTGTGGGGCTCGAGCGTGTGGTCCGGAGTCGAGATCGTGTCCTCGGTGCCGTGTCCTAGGTTCCCGTCACAAGCCGAGCTGACGCTCTTAAGGAGTCAAGAGCGTGGCCTTGGTGCCACGTTCCAAGGGTTCCGGCACAACGGGTGCTAAGACCGTGACCATGGTGCCACGTCCGAGTGAGTCATCGCCAGCTTGGGCCTATACGTTCCACGACGAGCAGGTCTTAGTGTACTCGTGCATCTGCCCATGACTTCATCAACTCCGCTTCGTACTGGAATCGTCGCTACCTCTTCGATACTGTGGGTGACGCTCGACAGACCTATAAGTCAGGATGCACCCGTCCTCTAGCGTGTGAGTTAGGACTCAACGGATATTTGTATTGTTAAGGGATTTGTTGTGTATGTAATTGTCCTGTATCCAGTTAATAAAGTGCGTTTAATAAATGTGTCAATAAATGTGTTAAAGCGATAAACCGAGTGCGCCATGTTCAAATCAGCCAATGGCTAATAGATGGCTTCCTACGAGTGATTTTGGATCGTTTTCCATCATTTGCTGAGAGAGAAGAACGAGGGCTTTAGTCGAATTTGATAATATATTGTGAATTTCAGGCCGCGTGCTGCGCTAATATTTGGTTCGAGTGTGCTTGGGAGCCTCTACTACCGACCAGCAGTGTGTTCTCACCATTCTCAAAAAAAGTGCTGCAGGGCCCCTTTAAACTAAGTTCAAGCTTCAGTTTGGGACTAACAGGCCACGCAGTGCACGACGAAAGGCTATCGGGAGGGAGTTGCTGCAATGAACCTTCGCCTCTTTTAAAGGGACCCTGCGCCTGCGTATTCATATGTTATTTGACAGTCTGGCAGCTGTAGCATGTAACTTAACAGATAAGGTCGTCTGCCGCGGTGGTGCAGCGGTTACGATGCTCAGCTGCTGACTCACATGTCGAGGGTTTGATCCCAGCGGTAGCGGTCGCAATTCAATGGAGGTTAAATAGCAGAGGCCCGTGTATTGTGCGATATCAGTGGCGTTAAAGAACACCAGATGGCCAAAGTTTCCGGAGACCTACACTGCGACGTCTCTCACAGTCGCATCGCGATTTAAAGACGTTAAACCCCAGATACTATTATGACATAGTCACGCGGACATGTATATTTGAAAACAAAAAGTGAAAAATATTCCAACACACACGCACGAAGGCAACAGGAAGACGTGCTGCTTGCAACTGAAGTTTTAATCAAGGGCGTGGAAATACATAAACAAAAATTAAAAAACACAAGCGTGCTCAATTCACGAACATCAGATTATTCCGAAAACACCTGGAAGACCGCATCGCATAATCCCTATATATGCAGGGCTATGGAAATGCTCACTAGCTGAAACCAAGACTTCGTGCTAACCATAGTACGGAAGTCACCATAAATAAAAAAGAAATTAATATTCTAGCAAAATAATGTGTGAAAGGCGCCAAGAGGTCGGAATTTCGGTAAGTTTCTACGAGAAGCACGCAAATATTGGAATGAGCGTACAACGCCACTCATGGAGTAAAACACATGAGCGAACGCTTTTTCTCATTGTCTCTTACAAAAAAGACAAAGGTTTCGGGGCAGCTGCATACCAGAGGTACAACCGAGAACTGTGCACAGGCAGCATTTCTAAGCCCGAGCTTTGCATGGAACCATAGACTGCTTCAAAGGCCCTCACGAGCCCGATGCTAAAAAGCTGCGAGCCCGCCCGGCCCAAAGTATAAAAGCAGAAGCCCTGGCTCGGCCCTATGCTGCGCGACATTAAGTAGGTTTGCTGCGGATACAAGATATCGCTTTCCGGTAATCTGACATCTTATTCAACATATCACAGTGAAACATAAGCAAACATGTGACAGGCATGAATGTAAACATTCGACAGAAGTCTGTCTGGCTGGGTATGAAACTGGGAGATGATTTAGACAGCAACCAAAAGTTTTGAAGAAAGCCGACGTTTCGAAACGCACTTGGTTCCTTCCTCAGGGGTGACTGTAGGGCTGCGTAGCAGCGGCGTCTTCAAAACACTCGCGAAAGCGGATAATGACCCCCCCCCCACCCCCCCCCCCCCTCTTTCTCTCTCTCGTTTTGCCGTGGAGCGCAGTCCATGTGTATACACTGGGGTAAGGGTTCCGAGAGAGCAGTTGATGTTATAGGCTGTCCTTTGTAT